TTGAATCTGTTTATCCTCCCGAGTTATTGCTTAGTCTGATGTTCTGTATAAAGATAAACCAGAAAGAAGCAAGGCTTCAAAGGGTGTATTTTTCTGGTATTTATTGTGTTGCATAATGTGTTTACAAATCGGACACGATTAACGTGGAAAATCCCCCATAGTAATACAGGGAACACCACTACAGAGCAACAATTTGTAACGATTTATCTTTCTATTCATCAGACGTGTATGGGGTAGAAAAAATCAGTCCACAAGAAGAACCGAGGTCGGTCGTAAAAGCCAATGTTAAATAAACCCAGGTGCACATCGGAACTGATGCAGTGTTTTAGACGCACATATGCTAAAAATATACGAACGCACTCTTAGACCCCATGTCCATTCGAACGAAAGCATCGTTTCTTTCTTCTGATTTTGAGCTTGTATAATCCCGGCAACTTGTGCTGATTGAAGTTCGGTACTGTGTATAGTACCAAGCCGGAAGAAGGGATATTCAAAAGCCTACTTTTGATTATCATGCGTGATACATGATTTCTCAGGTTTTCATTTGATTCAATCTGTGGTATACAAAGGTACACATCGTTTTCCATCTTTTTCATTTTTTCCGAGAAACCTCGGGTGAACACAGCATTGTCTTGCACAAATTCAACTTATTCATCAATTTCAGTTGACCATCTTTTACTTAGTGAAAGAAAGTTTTGTATCCAACAAATCACCATGTAACATTCAGTTTGCTTCTGTTAACAATGAACCCGATTACTCAATCGGACTTCCTCGTATGATGATGCATTGCTTCAACTGTTTTCTTTATACCTCTGTATTGCCGCAGCTCAAGGTTTCGAAAGAAAGTAGCTTAAAACCGATTGCTTGCATATTCAGAGACACTTTTGTAGAACAAATCAAGCCAAAGATAAAAATTCGCAAAACGATGCACTGAATCAATGGCTTATTGCCTACATTAATTTGGGGTGATCTCTGAATTAGTCGAGTAAATGTCTTTTTAAACAGTTTTATTTTGGGCTGGGTATGTTTAGCAGCTTATCAGGTCCACCCTTGGTTCGTACAAGAGAGCAACGTGATTGAAACGGTCATCAGCTTAGCCTCTGAAGTAATTTTCACTCTCAAGTCTTGTCCTCTTACTTATATCTACATTCAGCCGTATAACTAGATATGTATTCTCACTGCTAATCTGTTGAGTAACGCAGGACTTGTTTTCACGTTGGAAAAAATGGAGGTTTACAGTATCTAGTTAAAAGTACATGTGGCTTTTCATCAGCGAGGAGGAATTGTTATTTGTATGTACCCTGTACTCAAGAATAGTTATCCTCTGACAACGTAATACTTTACTCAGATTGAAAACAATGCTCATCCATCCCATTTGGAAAATGGAGGTTCTCAGAGTTGCTTGTCCCGTTCCTACGATACGTCTCCATGGCATCAGTCTTAATTCGGCATTTCGCTGCATTCAGCGAACAATACTGGACAACCTCTGCTGGCTGTCTTTCCAAAACCCAAGTTTTTTCTTTCAGAGATCCTGGTATAATGAGCTCTTGAGGAGTTTCACCAGATCATTGAGGTATATATAAAAATGGATAGTAGCTGGATCCTTTCTTCAAACCAACAGTCTGTCTATGTGCCTCTGGAACTTTGTTGTATTATTTTCATTTTAATCATTGTTGCATACCAGTAGAGGCCAATAATTTTCATTTTGTGTTAATCGGAAAGTAAGGTCAGGGTCACAGATAAAACTGCTGGTTATTCCTACGGCTATTGTTTCGTTTTTGGCCAACTGCATTCGCAGTTTTCGGAAGTGTTTGCTTCCCAACTACTGCTCTTATGCGCGGGTAATTCACGCTAAAAAACCTAAATTTACTAAACGATATCCACTAACTTCACATAATAATTCTTATTCCAACTCGTCCATGGTTGCGGTTTGCTTCTAAAACGAAAAGTGTGACAACAGTGTTCAAAACCAGTGAGATTCCAAAACCGTTTTTCTCTCCGAGATTTTGTATTCGGGGGCTCCTTGCCTAAATGAAATACCATAACAAATTCAAACTTAATAGTTTTCACAAACTCGAAAAGTGTACGCTTCAAATTGTTTTCTTCTTTTCAATTTTTTTAGGATAAGCACACAAAGTGTTTCGGGGCGAGACTTCGATGAAGACTTCAGCCCCACTATCAAATTCTGCTTGAAGGACAAATTGCCACGTTCTACCACCAGCTTTAGTGTGTGCCCATTTGTATGCTCGTGCCGAGCATTATACGTTGGTCGTACGAAAAGGCATTTATCGCACGGAATGGGAGAACACAATCCCGTATCTCTGAGTGGTAGGGGGAAGAAACCAGGCCCAAGCCCGATTGCATCACACTTGGCCGAAACCACTCATGTCACAGAAAAGGAGCAAGCCTTCCAATCCCGTATATAACTTCACTTATAACTTCACTTATAACTACCTGTTTCCTAACCACTAGTAAACCAAAGAGCTTGGTAAAATATGGTAGACCATTTATGCTCCATGAAATGGGTTTCAAGCCATTAGCAAAGGGATGGTTCTAGTATAAAATATGGCCGTGCTATCAGGCTTTTTTGATTTGGTTTCCGCCATCGTCCGAACGCTCTGAGAAGTTAAGCGTTAGAGTCTATGGATGCTACTGTAAGTATATTTGGCATATAACCTACCAGCCGGGCATCAGAAAACACTGTTGTTGCTATAAAGGAAACTGTTCATAAGGTTGCTGAATGAACTTTGACAGCCCACGACCGGTTTTGCCCTTGTTGGGGCTCATCAGGTAGGCGCTGTCCCCGAGTTTCTGACAACCTTGTTTCATTCACGCAACCACATACCCCCGTCTGCAGAACTACCAAACCGCGAAACTAATGAAAAAGATAACCAAAACCTTGAAGAAACCCAAGGATCTTCACAAAATTACTGAGGAAGAATACTGGGAAATGAAGGCTCGTGACTCAGAATTAGCCCGATTCTACGGAATTCCAAAGGTTCACAAAGAAACGGTACCATTACGCACAATTGTCTCACTACCAGGAACACCCACATACAACATTTCAAGAGAATTATGCAAGCGGCTGAAATATCTAACCAGTGGGTCCCAATATTCGATCAACAATGCGGGACAGTTTCTGGATAAACTTAAAAGCGTGAGAATCGAAGAAGACGAAATAATGGTGTCCTTTGATGTAACCTCACTGTTCACATCGGTTGATTTAAATGCGGCACGGACGACGGTCGCCGAACTCCTGGACGACCGCAGAAACATCAACGGAACGCTCGGAAAAGAAGAAATATGTGAACTACTAGATCTGTGCCTGACAATCTACTTTGAGTTCAATGGAGAATATTACGAGCAGATCAAAGGAGCGCCAATGAGGTCACCAATCTCTGGAATCATCGCGGAAATTACAATGCAGAAACTGAACGACTCGTACTACTAGATATCAAACCGAAAATATGGGTAGGATATGTGGACGACACATTCGCTGTTGTAAAGAAATATGAACTGGCACGAGCGGAGGAACCGCTGAACAACGTGTTTCCCGACATCCAATTCACAATAGAAACGGAGGAGAACAAAAAATTGGCGTCCCTAGATCTGCTCGTAACAAGGACCACAGACGGCCAACCACAAATTAAAGTATACTGGAAAGAAACGCATACGGACCAGATTCTGAAATACCACAGCAACCATCCGAACGGTCACGAGCGGAGCTGTGTTCGAACTCTATTCAAGCGGATAGAGACACATTGTAACACAACAGAGGCGGAGAAAAAGAAGAACGAAGACCCTTCAAGACATTCCGAAATAACGGCTACGCGAGAAAATTCATATGGAGGTGCTTACAAGACCACCATCAGGATGATCCGTCAACACAACCAGAACAGAGGAAGATTACGCTGCCGTATATCAGAAATGTGCCGGAGATGACTGCACGACATCTACGGCAACATGGAATTAAAGTCGCCTTCAGGCCTACAAACACGTTGAGAAGAACCCTCTCGAAACCAAAGAGCAGGTTGGCTGGTTTGAAGAAGACTAACGTGGTCTACGAACTTGAATGCAACGACTGCGACAAACACTATGTTGGCCAAACGAGAAGAAAACCTGCTACTAGAATACACGAACACAAGCCTGCCAGAAGAAGACATGACCCAATGTCGCTCGTCTCAATTCACCAAGACAGAGAAGGACACACTTACAATTGGGACAATGTTCAAATACTGGATCACGCTAGAACAAAACGGGAGCGAGAATTTTCCGAGGCGTGGTACCCCACACAATAATCAATCAATAAACACTTCGACATTGACCCAGTCTTTCAAACTTTATGAGCAAAAGAACCACACGGTCACGGGACTCGGAGCTAAAAAACCTTACGGCAACCAACGGACTAATTGGGTCAAAGGAAGACATTCACGAAAAACAGAAGACCGATGAATCAACCGATCAAGTGAGCGAAACCCACACCACAAAGCAAGAAGGAAACGGCCGAATCACAGCATGATAACCACATACAGAACTGCCGAATTGAATGCACCCAACGAACCAACCAGACACAGGAGATTGAGACCACGTCAGATTCACAGAAGACCAATCAAACTACACGATGACCGTTTCCAGAACTAACAGATACTGCTTAGAAGCTATACAATCACCACTCAACCCTGCACTGACGATGTCCCCTTGATTGTTGAAACGTCTGCAATCCAACTGCCAAGCTCGGCGAACAGACCAACAACCAAACAGCGCACCCGAGCTACCTACATTCCACAACACTGTTGTTATTAATTTAGTTGTTCATCAGCACACCACTATCGCTTATTTATATATTAGTCAGCGGTGTCAATCACGCTGGTTTGAGAGACTCTCAACAGATCAGGTTCCTACTTTTCATTTTGTCCTCGTGACACACCAATTCACAGAGTGCCGTCGTCTTACCGGAGGACGGGTAAAAGCCTAATTGCCGAAACTTGCCAGGGGACCTTAAACTCACTTATCACGTGATCTATGGAATGAACGGGTCGAAAAATGTTTCCGCATTGTATTTGGAGTCTGCTTGTCATTGCTCTTCGGGAGTGACAGCACTGAACAGCATTTGGGAGGCAACTCATTGTCCTTTAAAACACATTCATCGTAGATTGAATACAGTACTTGCGTCCGGGGGTACCTTCACCCTGTAAAATAGAAACTACTACAAACAAGGCAACTATCATGCTGTGCGCTTTCCGCCCGGACTTTAAGACCAACAAAACCTTGTCATAAAGGCTTGCATCCCATTTTAGACTGTGGCTGATTCCATTTTTATAGACCGTTGTTCCATCTTGTGAGGAAACATGATGAGGAAACCAAATGAGTCCATCTGGAAAGGAGTGTTCGATAATCAATACACAGATTGCGCTTCAAGAAGTAACGAACAATATGAAGTGCAGTAAATTATACTCACTGACATGTCACGTTACTACATCCTCTAAGAATTTATGTTCTGAGCAACTTGTGCCTGTATAACCGATGAAGTGAAATTATTACTTATGGAGGTCCCGTCTGAATTCAGTCAGGATATCAAGAAAAAGGGATCTCACTTGATAACTAGATCATCTCAACTCAGCGTAGCATGTTTGAGTCTCATCAGTTCGTACGCTAGTCTGCTTAGAAAGGACTTGGAAGCCAAAATAATCATCACGAAAACCTGTAAGGACTTTTGTCCATCGTACCCGTTGCTCTGAAAATGACATCAGAAAAAACTCCAGTGTTTATTTTGAGGATCACTCAATTCATTGTCGTGTAAGATTTAAGATATATGACCAATAATTGGCACACTATCATCCTACGCATCAACGTTTTCCTTGGAAATATTTGGTTACAGAAGTACGCGGATTGCTTGAGCTCTTAAAAATAGACAATATTATTATTATTATCACTTTTACTGATTTCACTAGACATGAATCACTTGATACTCCGCTTGAATATTTTACTTCCTTATATTTATAGTGATCTCATACGCTTTACATCTGCCATTCAAGTCTAACTGATTTAATCAGTCTTATGTTGAGAGCACGCAGCGGAAAAATGGAACATTACAACAGTCCAGTCATGTGATTAGGGCTGCCAATTATGCACGAGATAATTGTGGCAAAACTTCTGGCTCCAAAGTCAAGTGAATTCATATGGTTTGGATTTTTACGCAAACGTGGTAAAAGGTGCATTTCTCATGTCCTTTTTCGGTCTTCTTTGGTCCTTCAGAGTGGAAAGTTTATCGTCAAAGTCAGCATTGGAAAAAAGATGCACCGTGAAATAATTTTTTTCCTAAAGGGGTTCTATCTATGGAGAGGTTATTATACCAAGAGGACTGGAGAAGAACTGAGAAAACTACGGAGTGGAACAATATGGCCTTGGAAGACGCCACCAAACGTACACAAAGTTAACTGCCCTAGCTCCAAAAAATATAGGTAAAAACGTTTGCTAAATTCTAATACAAAAAGTAACTTTTCATGCTATGTGTATTTACAGTGAACAGTGTCACTAATACGTCTATCAAAACAGACCCGACCCTATTGGAGCTGTGCGTAGAAATACGATTCTCTCTGCTCTTCTGTGTTGTTAACCATGACAGCTGTTGACCAGTACCACTGAGGTTTGATCTTTTGATGCGCACAAGTATAGTAGCGCAATCATTCCAATACTCCTAAAATTATGGATTTAACGGTGATGTTTAGGTGGTCACGCCCTAGGAGCCACGTTTATGTGTAAAAACCCACGTTTTCAAGCAGATTCTTTGTTTAATTTGGACAAAAGTCTATGCTCGCGAGGGTTTCGGACAGCTGAAACTGTGCTTCTGGAGCCACGTTTATGTGTAAAAACCCACGTCTTCAAGCAGTTTCTTTGTTTAATTTGGACAAAAATCTATGCTCGCGAGGGTGTCGGACAGCTGAAACTGTGCTTACCTACCAAGTGAAAGCCAAAGATGATCGCAATCAAAGAGTGCACTGCGGTCGAAAAAACATCACCCGGAGGTTCTTCCGAAACCTCAACAGGCATATGTCTACTACCAAGCTAACTAAAAGACATTGGCGAGTAAAACCTTCCAAAGCTTGGCTCTGCTGAATTTACACAAATATGATCAAACTGTCACTGTCATTTCCGTAGCCGATTCTACGCTTCGTATGAAGAATATACTGAGTGGAGTCACAAAGCACCCAAATACCACACCTCAAATGCAGCAATAGGATAATCCATACCAAGAAAATGGAATGTGGGAAGTACCGAAACACTCACACAGTAACTACAAAGAAAGAACATTCAGTGTATTGTGACTCCAAAAAAGCATTCTCCCGTCATTTGTCAAACCACTTTTTTTTGGGTATTTTGACCCTGACGTTCTTTTAATGCCTTTTTGATCGTCTACCAGCTTACC